AATAATATAATTTTATTTTCTACTTATTTGAAAATAATGATCCCATGATTATTCAAACTAAGTCAAGTGTTTTTACAAGACCCGCTTGTTTTTTTTTATTAATCATTATTTTAATTAATTATTATTTTCATAAATTAACTTATTTTTATTAATTTTGTTGAGTAAGTATATCATTTTCTTCTCATGAATTCAGCTTATTTCGTCTGTCATCTTTGTAATCAAATAAATATATGAAAGATTTTGTTTAATAATTGACTTTTATAACTGAAAAAACATATTTTTATTTAGTAATGAGTATGTTTTATATCAAAAAGCATATTTTATTGCTTTTTTATAGCTTCATTACTTCATTAAAATTTTTTAAGGTAATGCTTGTTAAGATGTTTGCTTAGACATTTTGTAGTTTAAAGATACAAATTATATTTATTATGTAGAGAAAACAATTTTTTTTTTTAATGTTTAGATTTAAAGGAAGAAAAAGGAACTTTCATTTATGATAATATTTATGATCAAAAACCTAAACCTTATATTTAAAATATGTTATCTCCTACTCGTATTTGTTCGGTTAGTTTTTTGTTGATATATTTTTTACGTAAGACACAGCGATAATTTATTTTAAATGATTTTTTTTTTAGAAAAAGATCGTACTTCTGACAATATCAATATTTTCGTATTATTTTTTTATTATTTGCTATTGGTTATAATCCTTCATCATAGTCCACCTAACGCTTTTGTATATTTAGCCAAAGTTTCCTATTATTTCTAGAGACTCCTTATTTTCTTCTCCTTGTTTGTGTGACCAACTTCTAAGTTTCAGACAGATAATTTTGTTTGAGAATTTTTTTATAATTTGAGAATTGTATTTTACTACAAGCTACATTTCACACATAATTTAAATAACGTTCAGGGGTAAAAGAAGAAGTGGTCACTTTTGTCCTCCCAAAAAGCTATTGCTATTCAGGAACTGAGGTACTTGCCATACACCTGGCAAATCCAGACATTATTTTATCGTCCGGTGCGTTCAAAAAGAAGCTTCAANAAAAAAAAAAAAAAAAAAAAAAAAAAAAAAAAAAAAAAAAAAAAAAAAAAAAGGAGCTTTAGACAAAATAAAGTGCCAAAAACTTTGTTGCCAAAGCGAACATACTTTTATCATCATTAAAATTATAAAAACGTAAATCGTTCGATTATGGGAAATAAAAAACTTAAGACTTAAAAGCTATTATCACACAAAAATAATTAAATAAATAAAACTGGAAGGTAAAATTGGAATTTCATTCGCACGAAATTAAAAAATTTCCCCCTCCTAAAAATAGTATCTTACGCCACCCTTAAAAACGTTTAAAACCACTTTTCTTTTGCAAGAATAAGGATATCCAGGTTAATAAACATAAATTTTATAGAAAAAACTCAAAAATTAGTGAGCCCTAAATTTTGAATGTACCTTTATCCACTGTGGTTGGGCCCCTGTTTTCAATATCAAATCACAAGCGAAATATTTGGCCTGCATATTTTAAACACCTGGCGACATTTATTCGTTAAATTTAACAGTATGTATAAGTGTTTGAAGTAAAACTTATCCAATTTTATACAGTAGGAAAAAAAGTGAATAATAATTCAGGTGTTTAGAGTAACACTACGGGGGAAAACATGCGGGAGGATTGTTGATAAAGTTGCTTTAAGATGTTCTGTAGTTTTATAATTTTTTATATTCAATTTCAAGAAGAAAATATTCGCTTAAGAACCGTTGAACCGTCATAAAAGAACTTTCTAATATGGGATAATAAAAAATAAAATAAAAATGAACGGGTTGTATATAATCAAAATGGATAATTCAGTGAAAGAATAAAAATAAAATCATAAATATTCTATTCATCGAACTCAAAACATCTGGTCGGTTTTATATACTTTCATGGAGTGAAAATTGTCACCTTTACAAAGACAGATCTGACTCTTTCCCGGTTTGCTTTGTTATATTTTTTCCAATGCATCACGTGTTTTCACTATTCAATCAAATGTATTGTAATTCAGGGATGCGGGCTATTGTAATGGAGAAATGTTTCCTGTGGTTCTTTTGTAGATGAGTAATTCTTCTTTTGGAGTGTGCTTCCCCAGGCCACGCTTGCAAATTTAGCAGTCCGATTTTACATTTTTCTAAGTAAAAAAAATTGAGTTGATATCAAGAGTAAAGTAAAAATTGGCGGGCTTTCCTCGGCAAAGTCAGGCGATGATTGGTTACATTCTTGGCGAGTTTCACATTCCAGCTGTCGGTGGAAATCCCCGCCCTCACTTTATCTGTCCAAGAAATGGCATTTCGCCTACGCGGTGTGAAAAGATGGAACATTTATCGCTATTCTTGGCTAACTCATATAATCACACAATCAAGCGGCGTATTTCATTATTCTATCTCTCTATTATATAATATTTTTTAATGGCAGAATAATTGTAAGAATGAATAAACATTGGACACGAAATAAAAAATTTTGAAATTATCTGGGGTGAGTTTTTGGAATTAAATAATTGAAAATAAAATGGGTATTCCTACTTTTCTTTTTACCTTAAATATGTTATTAAATGGAATAATAATAAAATTGTTAGAGCAATTTAAACAACTAAAAAATATCAGAGAATAATAAACATTCGATGCANTTTGGAAACGGAAATAAAAAATTTTGAAATTATCTGGGGTGAGTTTTTGGAATTAAATAATTGAAAATAAAATGAGTATTCATACTTTTCTTTTTACCTTAAATATGTTATTAACTGAAATAATAATAAAATTGTTAGAACAATTTAAACAACTAAAAAATATCAGAGAATAATAAACATTCGATGCAAAATAAAATTTTTATGAACTTTCGGAATAAAGAGCTTTGGAATGAAATAATTTGATGTAAATGAGTCTATATAATTTTTCTTTTACTTTTTAGTACGTTACTTAATAAAAGAATAACTATGTAATAGTACAATTAAAATTACGAAATAATAGTGAGGGTGAGAAATACATAGTAAAGGACATTAGACTTAAAATAATAAGTTTTTTTTTAACTATAATGAAAAGCTTTATTACTTATGGAATTCGACTTAAAATTATTTTGTAAAATATCTTTTGTTTTCTTCTTTGTATTTAATTTTAACAATAAGCGCGTTATTGGTAGCTAATTAGTAATTTTCAGCCTTTTATTAATTAAGAATAAAATTTCAGTGTTATTTATTAAAAAGAAAATTCTGAAGAAATGCATCTATTTTAAAAAAGTTTGGTGATGAATTATTGAATAATTTTCTGTTTATTTGTAATCTCATATTCTAAACAATTATTTAATTTACATTTTATTTTTAAATTTTGACATTTATGTGACAAAAGAAAGAACGCCTCACTGTCAGAGGTGACGGACCGATAGACTTTGTGTTGAAAAAAACCTTTAGGAGAGATCATTAAAACCTTTCCCGGGCGAACATCTGCCCAAGCGCCGAAAAAGTCAAATAAGGAAACACTAAAAAGTATCGAAACAAAAATTTAGCAAAAAAATAAGTAGATAAAAGTAGTAAAATGTGTTAAAAATATTTGTGTCAGGCTCATATTTAGAGAGCTCTTTTTGACGATACAACCTCATGTTGCAGTTAAAGTGCACTAAACACCATGCTATTAATGACTTAATTCTAGAGTTGAAAGTTAAATTAGAAAAAAAGTTATTTTTGAAAAAAAAAAACAAAAAAAAAACAAGCATATCTAACAAACAAACTTCTTCTCATCTTTTAAATAAAGATATCTAATTTTTATGATATAAAATTAAATGCAAGCTTAAACAAAAAGCATAATTGTTTATTTATTTAAAATAACTTTATGATTCATAATTAGTAAATTTGTTTTTGCACATAATTATATTAGTTGGGATCATTTTATTCACCAATACGTTTTTTCAAGACCCTAACAGAAGTGGCATTTCCGCACCAAGAAAATGACACTGACTTAAATTAATATCGTTTGTGAAAAATCAAGTACCTTTAATAACAATTTTGAAGTCAATGGTGTATATATATGTATATATATATATATATGCTTAAAAAACTGTTAATATAATTTTCATACTTATTAGATAATCTCTGTTGTTTACATTTATAACTCTGAGGATTGCCTAAACTGTTTTCAAATCTATACTGGAAAAATAGAAAATTTAACTATTAACAAATGTTTTTCCACACTGAATTGCATTAAAAAAGAACTTTTGCCAGTAAATTATAGTTCTCCCCATTGTTCTTAAGGAAGCTGTAATTTAAATATAACGTTGTTGTTATGTCGTCATTAATGACGTTGTTGTTATTGATAATTGACTAATTTAAACATAAAAAAATGAATGAAATTCTTTGTCATATGGTTATAATTGAGAAAAACAACGTTAAAATTCTCTTAAAGTTTATGTACTATATGCGAAATTAACGTTGTTTTTGCTTTACCAAAATATTAATACGTATACATTAAATAGGTTTGAAATTCTGAACTTTTTTAAAAAATATCCTCCATAATTAGGTATAGAATACTTTTCGCGTTATATTACTTTTAGGTTTACTGCTGATTTAAAAAAAAAAAAGTAATTATTAAATTTTTCGGTGTGAAATTTTTAGGAGTGTTATTATACTTATTATTTTCTAGAGATGCGTTTTTGAATTAAATTACGTAATATATTTACTTACACAAAAGATATTTTGTGCTCGTGATGGAAAATTTAAAGTTTAAAAAAAGAATCATAATTTTGAAAAAAAATGAGGATAACAAAAAAAAAATCCAATTTTTAAAAAAAAAATCCTATTTTAAAACTATAAATTCATATAAAAAAGCTAGCAGTTGTATTTTTTTAATAACAAATTTTTATTGTTTTTGAAATTCTTCCAAAGAAAGTATGTATTACGATTATCAATTTCAAGGATTGCTTGGCGACAGACATATATTTGGCGACAAATAGTTCTCTTGCATCTGCTCATCAACTTTGCGCATCGTACAAACCTAAACCGCGATAGTTTTCTTTCTCTTCTCTATCTTCTGCATTTTTCAGCTAACGTAAACGTATATTTGTTTTTACGTCGGATCATATGTGTCCGTAGTTGTTTTTATCCTTAGTTAATTAAATTCCTTTACTACCAGCCTGTGTTTTGTGACTTCTACCTGTTGACTTATACTCGCATCATTTTAGGATTACAAAAACAGAGTTCTCTTTTAATTGCGACAAAGAATGAAACCAAAACTCAGCTTATCGTAGGATAACAACACAGATAATGATTTACTGTGAATTCCTCGTGAAAGGTGTGTGATTGCTAGTGATGCCGAATATACCTCTCAATCGTAATACCATCACGCGGTTTTGTAATTCATACGCTATGATATTTGGACGTAGAGCGACGACCGCTGAAGCTGACGAACAGGTAAGTTGGATAGAATGACCCCAATTAACGCGAGTACTTTTCATTTATTATTATTGCTATACGCTTTGGTATGTTAATGATCGCTTTCCAAAGTGGTTATTTCATTCTCCTTTTCTCTAAACTGTGTGTGTGTACCGCTTATTAGTGTGCCACATCTCACCGCTTATACTTTACTCGTCTTAGATATGTGTTTTCGATGAAATAGAACTGCAGGTGTATGTAGTCGATTTTAATTTCTGTATTCTGAGTTAAGGTGCGAAATTTTTTTTTGAAAATAAATTGATTTAAAATTTTTTTAACCAGACATTTTTCTTTTAAACTTTAGGAAATAACTGGTTTGTTGGGAAAATGTTTTTGATGAAATAATTTCGAGAAATCTGCAAGTGCACGTTAGTAGTTGATTCTGGTTTTTGTGTTTTTATTGTTGAAGTGAGAAAACGTGATTGTATAAATATTTTGATTTTATTTTTAGCTCCCTTTAAAAAAAATTAAATAGTGTTATACTGGCTTTTTGGGATATAGCTCTTAAAACAAAATAGAAAATAATGCAAATTGTAGTTGATTCAGATTCCTGTGTTGAGAATTCCTGTGTTAAAAAAGTTATAAGCTGTTAATTTTCCTGTTCTGGAAATTTTATTCTCATTTCCTATTTACTTTACCTATTTGTTCCTATTTACTAACTTTCATAAGTTTTTAGTAAAGTGTTTTTGATAAAAAGTTTTAAGTTCATTGGGGATGTTATTGATAAATTGCCAAGAGTGTTGAAAGTTTGAAAGGCATATTCTGTGAATGTATTGAGTAGTTTTATGTTGTCAGATGTTCTTTAATGAAGTTAAACAGGACACTTGTTTTAGTGATGTATTTTGATAGAACTATATATAAAAATTTTAAAATGCATATGGTTTTGACTGTAGAAGGAGGAAGATACTGTAAAACATCAGATTTTCATTGATTACCTTTCTTAGTGTTTTGAAAAACCAAACTTATTACTAGTGAATAATTCTTGCTATGGGTGTTTTATATTTTTACAATTAAATTTGTTATGTTTAAAATAGTTATGTTTTAAATTAGTTAAATTAGAATTGTTACATGGGTATTGTTGAAATAATATTGATAAAGTTTTGTTTGGCTGAGTTCTTTGATAGTTTATTATCGAAAGGTAATGGGGATGAAATGGAAAAATATAATAGTTATCTATTAGGAATATTTAAGATAAATAAAAAACCAGCAGCTATAGAAAAACTGAAGTTTTAAATTTAGGTGAACAAAAAGAAAAATATAAATAGCAAAAAAAAAATTATCTTAATTCTTAAGACAAAACTTATGCAAAAAATTATATTTTTGAAAAAAAGTATACATAAAACATTAAAACAAAATTATCTTAATTCTTAAGACAAAACTAATGCAAAAAATTATATTTTTGAAAAAAAGTATACATAAAACATTAAAACAAAAAAAAAGTTGATCCCAAATGCTTTTGAAAAATCCGCAATATCATAAAAATGCCCACAAGAATAAAGATAATATACAAAAGCAAAACAGAAAAAATAAAAACTGATCTCAATTCTCAAAATAAAATTTTAAGGTTGAACATCTCAGTTTTCCTATTGTTATGTACTTTTCAAAAAAAGTGAAGAGAAAAGAATTAAGTCTAAAAGAAGCTCTTTTAATTGCAGTGTTTTAATAAAAACATTACTGAAAACCAAAGTTTTTTTTAAAAAAAAAAAGAAAACCTAGATAGGAGAATAAGAAAAATCATTCTTAATTTTTCAAAGAAATTAAAGAATAATTCTTAATTTTTCAAAGAAATTAAACACTAAAAATCTCGACCAAATGTTTACATATTTGTCATATTCTTAGAGAAGCGTTACGATAAAAGAATAACGTTCATTAGAATATCTCTACTAAAAGCTTTAAAAAATGCTGTATCATAATAAAAATGCTGTTAAAGATAAAAGTTAATAAAAAAAAAGAAAAGAGAAACTGAAAAAAAAAGTTCTTATTTCTTATAATATAACTTTAACATTGAAAATCACAGCTTTTTTGTTGCCGGTTATCTGTCTTACCATACAGAAAAAAAGTGATGGTAAAAGAATAAAACCTGCCATGAAATGCTCTGTTAAAATGCAGTAATATTATAAAAACTGCAAAAATGAAGGAATTTTTAAAAAAAAATCAATTCATAAAGCAAAAGTGTTGCAAAGACAATGAAATTGACTTGCCTGAATATAGTTAAAATAAAATCTGCAGTACAAAAACACATAAAGTAATCTAGTTTCAGTTTTTTCTTTGTCTTCCAGAACATAAATTTACTAGCATATGAATTATAAAACATAACTAATATGTGTTAAATCTATATCTGATAATGTATAGTAAAAATACTATTTTAGATTACTCTTTTATTTAATCTATTACAGAACAAGATGTGCATAGTAATATTTTCAATACCTATGCAATTGTAGTTATATTAAGGCTGCATATGATCTACTTTTATATGCCAAACTTTATTGCTTCAGGAAAATATAACCATATAATTTTATTACCTTCAATTTTATTTATTAGGTCTTTGCTGTGTTTAATTTTGTATTTGTAAATTCGTTTCTATTTTTTTCTAAATGTATTTAAAAAGAATAAATTTTTATCTTTCTTTTGCTATTATTTGTTCATTGTAATTAAACTACTAAATTTGGATTTGAATGTGAAAGTTTTTGGTATTCAAAACCAATTTTTTACCTAGCTTCTACTTACGTTATCTCATTCATTCTCTAAATAGCACAAGTATTTTTTACCCTCTGGTTTAATTAAATTCTGAATATTTAACAATATGACCTGGAGCTTTTTTCTCTTGGCAACTTCCGGTCTGCAGCCCGTGAGAAACTAAAAAAAAATTACAAAAAGGGACCAACTCGAAGGGTATAACTTGTATCCACCCCCGGGCAAACCTTTACATGCTTTTCTTTAAAAAAATTCATGTTTAAAAATAATTTGGCGTCATGGAAGAGATCATGATATGGAAATATCCGTCTGGAAAAAAAAAAAAAAAATACTGTTTGAATTGCTGTTGGTAGCACATGCTTTTTTCTTCATTATTTGTAAATATGAATAGATGTTTAATAATTTTTAAAAATATTTTTTTCTTCGTGTAAACCAAAAATTATATTGGTATAGTTGAATCATGTTTATTAAATAATGCATTATTTTACTTATAGCTAATAAGAATTTATAAGTTTCAAATTTCTTTATTCCACGTTTAATTTTTTAAAATATATTTTGAGAATAAAATAATAATAATCACACAATACACTTGCGTTATTTTTTCTGGACAAAGGTCTAATTTTTAATAAAGTCTTAACTATAAAAAATTAGAGCAATAGGAATACCTTAATGAATTATCCTATTTTTTTTAAAACTTTTGAATGATTTTTTCATGAAAAAAAGAGTTAATTTAAATTAATGATTTTTTTTAATAAAATAATTTGATTTAAATCATGCAAACTTCACATTTTTTGTAAAATATATGTTTTATCAAAAAGATTACTTATTATTATCCACACATTAACAAATTGTTTGAAGCTAAATATTTTATTCATGGTATAAGTAATTTTGTTAAGTCAATTTATTTTTGTTTCGAATGGAAACAAACATATCTGTGCAGTAGGATTTATTTTCTTACTATGTTTACAGTTACCAATAAATTGATTTCGAAAAATCTTTTATGTATTCAGTAGGTATAAAGTATATATTTTATGAAGAAAATAAAAAATTTTGGTATTAATTTAAATTAATAAAAATTAATTTATGCCTCAATTTTTTTTAAAAAAATACTTTACCTATTTATTTTTGAAAATTTGAGGAATAATGTCTGCCTATATCTCAGAATGACGTCGGGAAAAAAATTATGTAATTCTGAAATTTTGGATAATCTTTTTAATTTTGCTAAACAAAATAAATTTTTCTAATGATATAGTTCAAAGATGAAAAGATTGTCAGCTAATTTTATACATAGCATATTTGTATTATATATACGGTATATTATTTTAACGCATTGTATTATTTTTAGTTATATATTTTTTCTAATTCTAGTGGAAAGGTGAAAAATGCCTTAGTACAATGCGCCAGTCTTTTCATAGGGCTTTGACTACCTGTAAGGCCCCTTTGCCTCCAGGGAAGAAGTACGTTGCCGTCCAGTTTCTGACCAAAGAGCTTCTTTTTTATGTTGTGGATGTAAGTATTATGTTTATATGAAGTTTTTATTAAATACTTAATGTTTTCATTAAATATGTATTTTATAAGTCAATAAAGGTAAACTGTCATGTTTAACAGCCATCAAACAGAAATACCAAGGATCCTAAAGAGTATAAATTGTTTTACTGTAGTATTTCATTTTAGCCTATTCAAAAATGTAACAAATAATCAAATTTTTATTTTGGTAAAAACTTCTCTTTTTAATCAATAAAACTTTAAAAAAGTTTTAAAATATATTCAACTTTTTAGAATTAATATTGTTTTATGATTGATTAATAAATATTATTTGATGTAAGTAAGAATATAATAGTGTACGAATTATTTCTATAAAGTGTTTTTAAACTTCAGACAGCTTACCACTTTAACCAATAAGGTGAAAAAATTTATTAATAAGCTTTTATCTTTTCTCAATATAAGAAAAAAATATTTAATTGCTGATGTAACTTGAACTGCATTTAAATGATAAAGAATTTAAAAAAAAAAATGATAAAGGCAAATACTAATTACTCTAAAATTAGCCAATATTATTCTACATTGCAAAGAAAATGGAAATGAAATTAATAGAAAAAGTTGCATAATATCTTATAATATGAAAGATATTGAATTCAATTTTTGCATTTTCAAATTCAATACCGTATATTCCGGCGTATAACGCGCACTTTTAATACAAAAAATAACATTGGAATCTACGGGTGCTCGTTATGCGCCGAAATATACGGTAATTTAACTTTTTTTCATTTTGTTTGATGTTTCTGTTATGAAAGAGTTTTGGATAACATATGTTTATATCTTTTTGCTACAGGCTAAAGGAAAAGGGCAAGAAGTTTTTGATGAAGCAAGCAAGCACCTGGGCCTTATTGATGCTGAGTTGTTTGGATTGGCATTTTACCAAGGTTTAAAAATTTTTAGTAATTTCTATTATATGTTCAATGATTCGAAAAAATATCTTATTTTTCTTGTTAACTTATTCATTTACAACCTTATTCACTATTTAAAAAATTAGAACTTCGAATTTAATAGAGTTGCAATATTTGACAAAAGTGGCACTAATAAAAAACTGCCAAATATCTGGTGTAGGCACATAACATCAACGTTACATGCATTCTAAATGCATGTAAAGCATGCATGCAAATGTTAAATGCATTCTAAATGTGAAAGTCCTTACATTTTCATATCCTTGAATTTAAAATGAAATAATTTTGCTGTAAACCTCCTGTTAGGTTGCACCTTGCATTACTGCTTGTCAAGTCTGCCCTTCCCCCATTAATGACATATCTAATCTATAATTGTCAGTATAAACAAATTGTCAGTAAAAAGCATTAGTGAAATTGGTAATTTAATTAAGATATATTTTGTTCAAGAGTTAAGTTTTAAAGTTTATTTATTAAATGTATATTATTATTTTATTTGAATTTATTATGCTGAATTGTTTTATGGTGAATTTGTTCTATGCTGAATCATTTAATTTATGTTCTTCATATTAATTATTTGAAGAACTAATTTTTAGCTATTAAAGACTAATTTTTTTCTTGTCTTACACAACAATTATTTTGTTTTTGTTTATAAATATTGAATTTTTATTGAATTAAATTTTTCATCAGTTTCTTATTTATGTTTAAATATATTCGACAGTCTATACAATTAGATACCAATAAATTCTTTCACAATAATTTTTTTCAAATTATTATACAACAGCAATAATTTATTTATTTTTAGATGGTGAATACATATTTATTGACTTGAATTTAAAAGTGTCAAAATATGCAGTAAGAAGCTGGAAAACTCATAGCAATGTGAGTACACTAAATATAATCTAAATTATAATAAAATGTGTTTACCTTTTTTTAAAAAATTACTTATTTTCTACATTATGTTAATCATTATAATATGACTGGATTGTATCTGTCTTAATTATGATCAATTTTTAAAAATAAAAATATATTTAGCTAATGATATAGCTAATATATGATTTTATATAGTTTTAAAGATATTTCAGTATTACGTTAATATAATAATATTGCTCCTTCGTAATAGTTTTATAAGTAAAACTTAGATTTTTTATCTTCTCATTATATCTTAGAGCAGTGGTTTCCAAATGGTGTTTTTGTATTACCCCAAGATTCTGCGGTAAAATTGGGATTCCAAGAGTTATAAATTTTTTAAATTTGTTATTTCATTGTTTGTGGTTGCGACAAGTTAGTAGTATAAATAAAATTTGATTATGATGTTTAAAATTCATTATATAATATAAAATTACTTTTTAGTGCAATTTATTTAAGATTCTGAACTTCAGTTATTTTAATTTCTTAAGAAATTCCTGGATTCTCTTATACCTAAAATCCTTAATAAAGAAATCCTAATTTAAATCCTTTCCTTAAAAATGACATATTTAATAGCTTGGAAATTAACGCTATTATTTAAACTAGAATTTAACTGCAATTATATACTGTTTAAAAATTGCATCAATATTTTATATATCTTTTAGAAAAAGTGTTACTTCTATTTCTTTCTCTTGAATTAGCAGAAACCTATTTTTCTAAAGTATTATATTAAGTATATTATTAAAACTGTAGTATGGTGAATAGTTATAAAAACCTTTCTATATATGCACATACATTTGAGCGTAGAAATGTTAATTATTGAAAATTTATTTCAGGGCATTGGAGGAGATGGACATCCACTCTTAATATTGCATATGAGAATAAAGTATTACGTAGATTGCCATCTATTAATCAAGTAAATATTCATCTTTGTTGAATGTTGTTTTAATGATTATGCATTTCAGTGTAAGATGAATCAAAGCATAAATCTTTTTATTGAATTTACTAAATTTTCTAAATTGTATTTTTATTTGTTGTAATGCTAAAAAGAGCTTTTAAAAAAAAATAGTGTGATTAAAAGTTAAAGAAGTGAGTAATAAATCTTTTTTGATGTATTGTAGTTTTAGCTAAAAATTCTAAATTTTAAATGACGTGTATTTTTCACACTTAAATTTTTGAAAAGTAATACGTGGAAGTGAAACTCACTTCAGATTGTTAAAATAATTTTTATTACTTAGAAAATAAATGTTATATTTAGTTAATTTTATAATTTCTATTTGCTAAATTTTGTTCTTCCTAATTTGAATAGTTTTTTTTTGTATTTGAAATTAAATTCATTGAATTTGTCGAAAATATGTGTTTTTTTTCTTCTTTTTGTTGAAAAGATGTTTTATTTAAAAAAAATTTCATAAAAGATCATACTGATTTTTTTTAAATAAATTTTTTCATAATTATAAAAAGTTAGCTAATATTCTAAATTTTCAAAAAATTTCAAATATTTTTTGTTATTTTGGAAAGAAATATTTTAGCTTTCCTTAGTTAAACTTAGTGAAACAAATAATGTTATTTTTATTATTTAATTACTTTACATTTCTAAATAGTGCAGAACAGTTTGAAGAAATTTAATGAAAATAACTCACTACACTACAATCTAGGAAAAAAGTAGTGACTACAGTAATTTCAATAATTTAGCTCACTACTTCCGACCATAGATTTCAATCAATTGGTTGTTATTCAATATTTTAAATTTTATTTCTGATCTCAAAGAGTTGATCCCCTTACTTGTTTAATATCTTTATGTATTAATAAAAATTTTTTCCTTTGTTTAATATTGTATTGATAACAATTTTTTCCTTTTCCATAGTGAGAAAGTTGTCCGTCACCATTATTACTTGCAATTAAGAGAGAATGTGAAAAACTACTCACAACCTCTTAGTGAAGAAAAGTCCTTTGTGTTGGCTGCTTTAGCTCTTCAAGCTGATCTTGGGAATTTTAGTGAAGAAAAGCACAAAAATCGTTATTTTGAAATTGGAAATTATTTTCCACCATGGGTAAGACTTAACTATTAATAAGTTATTATTGTTGTGGTTATAAATAAGAAATAGTAGTTACAAATAATGCACTATTATTTATAACTAGTGAGATTTTTGTGTACTGTTAGTGTATTTAGAAAGATTGTTTTTTATAATACACAAATGAGTTGAATATGCAAAAAAGGAAAAAAAAAAGTTAACATATAGTTCTAGAAATATATTTTAGATTTACAAATTGATTATTAAATTGGCAAAATTTTTTTTCTTTTATTTATTTATAAATATTTTGATTTATTAAAATTTTTTAAAGGTGTCCTCTCTAAAATATTTGGTCTTGTATATAACTAACACAAGTGTGCATAAATATGCTATTCTAAATATATGTCAATTTAGATTTCATATCTTTAATTGTGTGCTTAATCTTATTCTTGTATAATACAAATTATATTTTTACTATTTCACTTGAATGTTTAAATTATTAGCTTATAATTTTGTTCTTATTAGTATTTTCAATATGTTTACGATTGATATTATATGAAAGTTTAATGTTTTTCAGAATTCTTTTAAGTTAATTGTATGAATAAATATATTCAATTATGTTTTTATGTTATGTTTTTATTTAAAATTTGGGCGTTTACAGAAAAGACTTGTTAATTTTATTATTTTCACTTGACTACGGTTTTAATAAGACCTGAAACTTATACAATTTTAAAAAACAATTGTACTTACTAATTAAGATGGCTTTGAATTCAGAATTACACGCAATTAATGTTGTTTTTTTTAATTGAGAAAAAACTTTTATAATATACATACTTAAAAAAATAATTATTACATTAGAGTAATATGAATTTAATGTATATTTTTTTATAGATTCAAATTTTTTTCAACTTTTTTAATCTTTAAATTATTCCCCTAAAATCTTAAAAAACAAATAGAATCGTAAGTAAGAGGTCAAATGCATTGTGTTGTTCAATCGAAAACAATTAGTTATTTATCAAGTTATTCCTGTTACATTAACTGGTAGTTACTACAGTTTAATAGATTTTTTAAAATTGTATTGAAATATGTGTTTCTTTATATTTCAATAGTTTTACATTCAGTTTTTATTTTTCCGGTGTTCTTACATTTTTAGTTAGAACTTACTTCTAAGATGTAATCTCTTTATTACAGATTATAAAGAAGATAGGGGAAGAGTTTATAATCAAGAATATTCCTGCTCTACATAAAGATAATGCTGGATTGAGTCGAGGGGAAGCCCAAGTTGGTTATATAAAAGAAGCCTCTGATGTAACTGCACCTCATAACTTGCATTTCTATAAAATGAGAAGAAAAAAGGGAAAAGTTATTTGCCAGGTTTTTCTTGGTATCAGTGACAGTGGAATTCATATCTATGAGGTGATTAGATTTTATTAAAATTGAAATTAATATTGTTGNAGGGCATTTTTCAGAAAATTCAGGATTTTTATTCTCATCACGCTTCATTAGATGGCACCATCTTTTCCTTATCTCAGCTTTTCTTGGCACATCAAAAAATATCTTTTCAGGAGCTGTGGAAGTTGTGTTAGTACACATAGGCACTATACAGTACTTATATTTACTTGATGAAGACATCAAACAGCAATACACTTCGATCTTAAAATATATTTTTAAAAAAACAAACGACGTTCAACTAGGCACGTAAACAAGCGTTAAATCACCAAGAAGAAAAAGTGTAAACAAACGCGAGTCAGGCTCGAATGGCGTCACTTTCTTAAAAGTCACGTGACTTCCTTTTTAAACTGAAAACGAAAATACACGATTTTTAATTGCTCTTAATTAAAAAAGTAGCATTTTTTGGGAGGTAAAAAGATGTTTTTCAGGACTTTTCCATCATTCTGAATTCATTAAGAACATAAAAAAAATTGACTGCAATTGTCCATTTACAAACCTGTCTTGCTTATCTATCTGTTATAAATATAGTTTGAATCTAAATAATTAAATGGAATGAAGCCATTAGATTACCTCTATTTTTGGTCAAGTTTTGTTTAATTTTGTATGTTTCCTTTGAAATATTTTATTAGCCTAGGTTTAAGAAAGTTCCTTTGTGGTAAATTAAACATAATTGCATTTTTTGAACAAGATAATATTTATAAAATATCATTCTTAAAGAATCTGACATTAATATGTTGTGGGAAGTTCTAATTAAAGTAACCAAGTTGTTTTCAGAAGTAGAGAAACTTGTTATTTCCTATAGGAAATATTTTTTAATTTTTTTTTTATAAAAATTAAATTATTGACCAGTTTTTAAAAGCTGAAATTAAGAAATGTTTAAACAAAGAAAGTGTCATTTTAGTGAGGTATAAATGAAAAGTATCATGAAAATAAAGTAACTGTAGAGAAAGTTATCAAAAGAAATTACAGTCCATTATTGAGATCAATTTGCAATAAACATGATTAATCAAATATTGCTAACTTAAAAGAAAAATTCCCAATCACATATATTAAAAGAAAAATTTGCAATTAAAGGATTGTACAAACATTCTTTAAATAGTAGTTAATTTAAAGTAAATCCTTTAAGTAAAATAGTAAATTTTTATAGCTGCAAATGACAGCTAACTTGTCTAAAAGTAGAACTTTTTTAAGTGAAATTAAGCTCATAACATTTTAGTTAACAGATGAGCCATCCAGTTTATCGGTATGTGTATTGTAAACATAAGCAATTAGTTTGCATAAGTGAAAGATAAAAGTTTTGACCCACTAGTTGTTGCATTGAATTTTCAGTTATGTATATTTCGCTTGATAACTACTATTTTAAAATGCTTCTTTTCATGTGTATTTTATTTGTGTGATTAATTTTTGTTTTTATTACTGTTTTTACAGAAAAAGAAATTTGAAATTCTTTCTGAGGGTAGCCCTGACTATCGCAGATTTACTTATTTTGTACAAAGTGAAGAATTAGCGAAACATTTGTTATGGATTTGTAGAACAACCCACCATTTCCATATGGCTAATCAAGGGAGAGTTGCAGATTTGAAAAAGCTAGAACTTGATGGTAATTTCAATTCATGTAATCTCCAATGAAATGTACTAGAAAAAACTATTTTTATTTGATAGTGTGTTGTTTTGTTTTTGGTAAAGAAAATGTAGTATAACTCAGCTTTGCTGACCTGCCAGATTGTCTTACAGTGTCTTATAGTTATTAATTGTGACTGCCCCTTGTTTTTTCCAGTGATTAGAACAAAGGAGTTTTATTATTTTAAGAACATGTGAACACTGTGGTTGTTACTCGTAATATGTAGAGAAAACGCAGTGAAATTTTTTTGCAGTTTTGAGTGGCAACGCTGATAGTATTATATTTTCTTACATTTAAATTAATGTGCATTACATTCTTACAATTAAAAACTTATGTGCATTATATTTTATTTTTAGCTCAATGTATGTGCAATGACTAATTTTCCTTCAGTGCAAGTTATTTTTAAAAAATGTCAGAAATATTATTTAAATGACATTTTTGCTAATACATTAAATATTTCTACTATTTCCCATGATGAAGTACTTAGTATTTTTTAAAATTATTTATAATTTTTTTAAATTTAAATGTTAGTTTTTTTGAATGATATTTAATTTTTTATTGTGTTTCATAGGTGGAAAACCATATAGAGAAGCTTATATATACACCGACAAGTACGATCAAGCTCAAGAGAAAAAGCAGAATACTATACCCAGATGTAGATCAAAATCTAAAATTGAAAATTCTACTATCAATTTGAATGGAATTGATGTGACTGTTGATAACAGCCAGAAGTCTAATGCCATGAAAATGACAGGAGTATCCTGGACTAACGAGAATGGTTTGAATGGTATGTTCTCAAAATTTATTTCTTCCTTTTTTTTTAAAAAAAAATCTGTTTGACGTTTTTTTTTTTGTACTTATATTTTATTTCAGCTGAGGAGTTGTTTGTGTATATACTATATTTATTTCCAATATGCAGAGATGATTCTGCTCTGGAAAAAATCCGGATTTCCAGATTTTTCGCTAACTACGATCCGGAAATCCGAAGTTCAGAAGTTTACAGAAATCATCGATCACATTTATGTATAAATATTCTTCTATATTTTATTTAAAAGTATTAAAACTGGAATTTATACTTGCCATCTCTTTCATTTGTAAATATTTTTTCTGGTAGAATAATAAATGTGATTAGAGATAAAAGTAAGCTAAATACATGATTATTAATTTAAATTATGCTGCATATAATTTATATAGAATTTCACTTTGTGAAAATATCAACGATTTAAATTTATAAAGACATTAATTTCTTGAAATGCGTCATTAATGATTTTACTCAGGAAATTTTCAGGATTTCTTAATTGGGCACCCCTGAATATGTAATGAATCCATTCAAATTTTAATTGATCTTAAAATAAAGAAATTGTTTTTATTATCGGGTGTTCTAGAAGGACTAATGATACAATTAAATGAAAACTGAAATAAATAGAAATAAGTTTATTTACATACAAGAGTTGTGGCAATCACAAATAAGAGTTAATTCTCACCCACTTTAAAAATAAGTTTTTAAGTTGAATAACAGATTGTGCTGATTAGATTGTGTTGTAGATATTAAGAAATATCTGCAATTTGCAGATATAATCTAGCACAATCTGTGCTAGGTGGAAATACATCAGTTGAAATTGTATAACATAAAAAACAAACAAACATAGTTATATAGTTTTTTTCAGTCAACAGTCACTAATATATATAAGCCGGGTGCAAATATATGAGTTAAAATTGTATAACACACAGCATAAACCTGGTTATACAGTTTTTCCAGTCAGTAATACCATTTGTTAGCAAGCTAATTAGATCATTTGGAAACCTGGCAAGAATAAATGCCATTATTTCTAAAAAATCATTCTCCAAATGGCTCAATTTTACTTCTTAAAAATTTTTTAATTGGTTTTTCATATTGTCAGTCAGTTTTGGGACACCAAGTACATTTTTCATAGAGTTATTATTTTAAATTTGTTTATACATAGATATTTATTAGCTTTTATTATTTTATTTTAATATGAATTCTTAAATGTAAATGACAAACATCAAAGTTTATGTGCAAAGATTTTTTTTAATTCTGAGCATTAGTTCTAGTTTTTTCCAACCTTGAAGCTGTAGGCTTTCCTGTGTCAAAAAACTGGTTTTTCCTATGTTATTCAAACAGAAAGTAGTCTGTAGATAGGAAATTCTGTAAAAATTTGCCCGAGTACTTGCTTGGAGGGAGATATGCATTCAAGCATAAATGTTCTTGGATAAATTTGTTTTCATTAATAAGCATGTTACATTCCTTACATAATTTCATAAAAATTGCTTTCTTTTTCAGGTGTTAAACTGGATGACTTAAGCACAACTCAACATCATTCTATGGAAGTTCTGCCTTTACTTAATGGAAGTAAATTTTCAAGTGATCTCAAGTACAAAAGTCAGAGTATACCATGTTTTACAGATCATTCTCTAGCTCCTTATTCTGAACCAGGTGAATTTCTTTTTATATTTTTTAAAATTTTTATTTTGTATTTTTTAAAATTTTTTTTAATATTTAATAACATAATTCACTATTATTACTGTGATAAAGTAGTTGTAGCTAACTGTGCAAAAATTTTAGTTTTTTTTTTACCATTGTAATAGGTGTTTCCTAGGATTCAATAGTTCTAATTTATACTCAATGAAATTTCATTAACTGGCACATTAGTACCTTATTTATATTGTTACATATGGTACTTATTACTTTAATTATTGATGTCTATTAACCTTTGTTTTAAAGCAAATCTCTCAAATATTTGCTAATTAAGTAAGGTTTAATGGACCTTTTTATTTTAAACAAGAGCTTAGGCTGTTGGTGTGAAACGTCCTTTCGTAATTGTTCTGTTAACCAAGAATTTTGCAATGAATAGAATTCAATTTTCTATTCTAACTGCATTTTTATTTTTCAGGGCATAATATTAATTCTAATCAGATGTGGAGCCCTTCCTCCAAAACTGGGACAGCAATAACTACACCTTCTTCTACATTAATGTCAAGGAGTAGCTGTACATCAAATACGGACAGTAATTGTAGCTCCTTGTCATTAACTAGTGGCTCAACCCTGAAGGTTGGCAGTCTTACATCTAAGTGCTCAAATGATGGTAATCGATGGGTAAAATGTGATTCTTTTGAAGAACTTCCTGTTAAAAACTCTACTGAAAATATCCCTCAGAAGTTATGTATATCCACTTTTGTGGATAAGCATGTGCGTACAGCCAGTGTATATAATGCAGTGACTCCCCAGAGATCGAATATTGTCAAATCTTTTCCAGCTACCTCAGGGATGTATAATTTCCCCAATAATGCTCAACCAAGTCTTACAAATGCCACCTCATTACTCATTATTCCTACCACAGATAAACCTACTGATGTTAGGCGAACTCCATCGTTCAATGTGTGTTCTGATTCTGTTCAAAACAAACATTTAATGAAGTCTCCTTATAAAGTGAAAGCAAAGACAACAGTCACTAAACGAACTCCTTCGTTTAACGCTCATGCGGTAGATTCTCCTTCTAAAACTCCTTCTTATGCTTCCTTATCTCTAGAACCTCCCGTTAGTATGAAAAAGATTGATGTCAAAAGAACTCCATCTTTAAACTTGTGTGCAGTTCAGCCTGATATGAAATCTGAAACATTGAACCAAACTCATTTACATTTACAAACTAGTGCTCAACATCGCAGGTATACTGTGAATGCTCAAACCCCTCACTCGAGAGCAGTTACCAGGATAGGTGTGTCTTCTCTCAACCGAGACCAAAGACTTCCTTTAACCCTCTACAATGACAGGCAAATAATTGCATGTGGCTCTGAGCCTAATCTATACATACCTGTTAATGAAAGGAGTCCAACTAGGAAGCTGGGATACTGTGATGTTTCTAAGTCGCAATATCTTCAAAGGCATCTAAACAGTCGCAGTGAAATGAACCTTAATGTGATAGACTATGCTCAACAGAATCAAAATGGTTTAATTTCTCCACATGGAGAAGCGGTTCGATATGATTACGACTTCAGGAATAGGCAGTTATCTTTGCCTGATGTTTGTAGTGATATTTTAGAAGCAGATTTTCCATGCATCCCACCTCCTCCAGCTTACAGAAATGATATTGTGAATGGTGGATCTGTTGCTCAACTTCCAAATTTGGAATTTATAGTTTCTTCTAATACTAATATGGTATGTATGTTTGTTGGCATATGAATTTTTTCTACAAATCCTTAAAAAACTGTATTAATCATGTTCTTGCAAAAAGTTCCTTGTATAGCAGTAGTTTTTATTTATTTATTGATATAATCTTATTAATTATAAATTCTTAGAAAATATTTATATCTTTGCAGGGTTAGTGTGGTGTGGCTAAATCAAAAAGGGGGGTGACTAACATTAAGTCAAATTAATCTAATCGATCATGCTGACTATTTTCCATTTTAATAGCTAATTATTGCGATCAAGATTCAGTGTTATTGATGAAGTCAAAAGCCATTGCACTTTATTTAATATATTCCTTGCATCTTGGAAAAACTTATGTTTTGGCAATTTGAATGATAATAAACTAAATGAATTGTTATGTAATCCAGGCTTGATCAGATTAAGACAAACTATGAAAATAAAAGATAAAACTAAACCATAAAAAATTAACTGTTACAAAGTTGATTATCAGTAAAATTGATGGATTCTGTATGATGAGAATTGGAATTTTTTGTCTCAACAAAACTAAATTATAAAAATTGATAATGATGATATAATATTAATTAATCTGTTACGCAGAATATGCATATTTTTTACTGGTTCTTTGATAATATATAACTTTTTTATTCTAAATAACTTATACAACTGATAAGGTCAAACTTTTGGCCTTTTTTTTAAAAAAAAAATGGAGTTGCCTATTTTTTTTCAACTCAAACATGTTATTTGTCAATTAAATTTTTATTTAATCAATATAGTTAGGAAGTATCACGCTGGTTTGAATCTGTTAGTTGGAATATATTTAACTGTATCTTTATTTAGAATATATTCCGATTCTGCTTTTATATCTATTTTTCTTTTTAATATTACTGCATTAAGAAATAATATTTCAATTTCTGTTAATTCAGTTCTGTGACATCGAATTATACCAAACTATAATACATGTTGCAAAAGTCCCCTTTTGACTTTATTTTGCTTTAACAAAGAAAAGAAAAATTTATTCTAAACAATTCTTGAGTTAACTGGAAAACTTTTGTAAGGCAGCATTTTTTTTCTCTTCACAATAAATCATTTTTTATAGCTAATATTTTTATTTTATTCGACCTGGAAGCTGCCTGAAAATCTCCCAAACTTCATTTGTGTAAATTTACATATTCTGGGTATATGATTACTTATCATTGATAGGTTAGTGCTAATGATAAGTAATCACACGAAATTAAAATATTTTAAAATAAATTTAACTAGTGTTAGAATAAGAATTCTTTTTGAAAAACTTAGTCTGCCACCTTTACTATGATATCCAAGATTCTTTAACCATGTATTTTTGAGCTAAATTTAAAAATAATTCTGTATATTAAATAAATTTTTTTTGTGACAAATTTTTAGAATTTTTTTTTTTTTTTTTTAAATCTTAAAAATGCTATAAAGCATCTATAAATTGTAAAAATTCTGTAGTTTGATCATTTAGTAAATTATTTTTATTCTTTATGTTTCAGCATAACAATTCTGTATTGAATTCAAATATCTCTCAATTAACTGAGAAAAGGAAAGAATTACGAAAAAGTCCTACTCGGCCAGACGTGCTAGACATTCATCAACTGCGCCAAAGAAGCCGGGATTTGGATCTGCCTCTCATATCTGCCCTGTGTAACGACCGATCTTTACTAATGCTCCCTAAAACTGTTCCTACCTGTTCAAGACAAAGGCATTTAGGCACAAAGGATCCTATGCGATTCAACCGCACTACTTCCCTGCCAAATGGCGATGGCATGGATACATTTTTAGTAAATGCAGGTCGTCCTATGAGCTGGCATGTTGATGCAAGCCATGTACCTCAGTGGACGCAAGTGACAAAACCATGTTCTGCTTCTTGGGACAACACTATCACTTCCTACTCACCTCAAAACACAATAGAATCTCCGTTACCATCATCCCTTCCACCTACAATATTAACATCATTTGTAAATACACCAGTTAAGCAATACAGGTATACCAGAGATAGGAGTAACTCTTCCGATAGTTATAGGTATGATAAGAATCAAATGATACCAACAAAACTGTTGTCTGGACCTCTGGGTGGCATTCAAAATACTAGATTATATCCAAAAGGGTTATCCTCCTGATGCCTTATCCTTGAATACAAGATATATTTTGCTCAATTTTATTATCATTTGTATGTATGTATATTGAAAGATGTGTATATTTTTTTATTATAGAAATTTTCACTGTGTGAAAGTAATTTCATTATAATATTTATAAAAATAATTAAAAAAAAGTGCTCCATGAATTTTAATTTAACTGCCATTGGATTTTTCAAAATTTAATATTGATTTTTATTTTCTCTATAAAAATAATAAAACTTGCATCCGTGATTGTATTTAATGTCATTTAAATTATAAATCTGTCGGTTTTACTTTGAATCTTAGTGCAATGAAATTTTCTGATAATTAGTTTTTGTAAATTTAATATTCTGTAATTTTGAAACTAAATTTAAATCACAGACATTTGAACTTCTGAAGTAGTCATTTATTATAAACAAGATTCGCTTGATAAAATTTTTTAATTTGTTAGTCATATCTTCACTTTATTTTTTAAAAGGAATAAAGTTATGTATGCTTGAATTAAAAGTGAAACCTTTCCTTTTCTAATCACTCTTTTTACATTAAGATTAATAGGCAATTTTAAAAGAGTTAAATTTATTTATTGTTTTTTTTTGGTATGCATTTTGTGGGAAAAATTTTAATGTCTTAACTAAAAGCTTGTGTTAAGATAAATATAAATATTACGAGCCCAATATAAATTTTAAGATTTTTCGAGGTCTTGTTCTAATTTTATCTAGTCTATGTAGACTTGTGTAGAGCTGTACAATCTGAAACATATATTTTTAAAATTTATTTTATGAAATGCTTAGCAATATAATTATGATAATTTTTCATGAGCATTTATACTTTTGAAAATAACGTTTTCTGAATAATGGTTACTTTTAGAATTGTGAGTTTTAACATCCAGTCATTGTATATAGTAATTTTATTTAAATATCCTTTGTTTATAGTATTTGTCTAATAAATTTTTTATATTATTTTCTAAGTAGTCTTATGTTTCACTGACTTCTATGTTTTAAACATGCACCTGTGTTTATAATTTGTGGATTAACCCTATGTTAATATTTCTTCTAATAGTGGGGAATATTAAGGCCCACCTCGTGCTGCCATGCCCTTAAACAATTTTTTTTTACTCATTGACATTTATCGAATAGTAATATTATTGCAAAGAATAGCAATGTAATAATAATAGTGATTAATAATAATAATTATTAATTATTATTATATTGCTTATTACTCATTGAACATGATTTATCTTTGAGTTCAAGTGGGGTTATGTGCGTGGTAACACAATAGATAATCAATTATATAAAGTTTTTCGGTGATAAATTGAGTACAAGGCACACAAGTACAAACATAAGACTATTGGCATAAGACGTTGCATCATCTTGGGTTTAGAGGGGAAGGGGAATCAAAGGAGATGAAACACTGCTATTTAGACATATGAGGTACAATTATCTATTCTGTTTATCTTTTTTTTCAAATTAAATTGAATGAGATCAAATCTGAGCATGGCTTATAGTTTTATAAGTTAAAGTTTTAGCTCTAACTGTGCAGTTTTGATTTATGCACATTTACACATCTAACGACTCTTATGACACTTATGTTTATTATGCTAAATATCTTAAGATATGACGCTAAATTAATATTTTTTATGCTAAATTGAATGAGACTAAACAAAAATCGTTAGGACTGATAATTTAGAAAGTTCTTAAGCTATTGTGTTTAAAAAGTGCAGTTTTAGACTAAATATGTATTTACTCGTTTTACATTTCTATCTAGTAGCTATCTATACAACTGAAGCATTGTTTCCTATGTAATTTTTTTATGCTAAATAGAATGAGATCAGATTGAAGTTAATTGGACTAGTAACTTTTAAGAGTTTGGAAGTTATGAAGGTTTTATGAATAAAAAGTGAAACCTTTGACTTACACTACCCTATTATCAATGAAAAGAATTCAAATAACAATTCTATTTTAGTAAGTGACCATAGTTGTTTACTTAAATGGAATTGCTATATAAAGTATGCTATGCTTCATAAAAAAGAATTGCTAAATAAAAACATTAATATAGAATTGAGGTAATTTTTAATTTGTTCCCCAAAGCCGTTTTAAGTAACAATATCAAAATTATGTTAGAATTGTTATTTTTAAATGTTGGGGGAGTAACAATTCAGTTATATGTCTGAAAAGGTATATAAAAAAAAATTTATTCCTGCTTTTTTTTTCTTTCAATAAACAACTGGAAGCGAATCAGTGATGTCACGCCATTGCGACTTGAGGTTTCATTTTCCACCCCTATAATAAAAAATATAACTTTCAAAATCTAAGAAAATTGCTTAAAATTAGTTGAAAAAAGTTTTAACAAAAAAAATTTGCGAATTTAAAAGACATGGTTATAAGTGAAGCATTAAACATATTTGAAAGTCATTCACATAGATTAATTTAACATTTTAATCTAGATGTGAGAAAAATGCGTATTTTAACTGGTAAAAAAAAAGGAAAGGAAAGAAATTTTAATATCTAATGTATTTATCATTGATTTTCGATTGGATTTAGGCGCAAAAAAAAGGACAAACAAATACATCTTTATGGTTATATATTTCTGACAGAATAACGATAATCAGAAATCTATATTTAAAAGGTATGGGTCCCAACATATGCATAATTTAACAGGTTATTTTATACTCTTGTTTTAAATTCTGTTAAATTCGCCGTCAACGTTCTGAAAGCTTAAAGGAAATAANTCCAATATTCACTTAAAAAACAATAACTAACCCTTTATATTAAAATACATATTAAATACCTACAGGAGGCATAATGATCAATAATTTTATTTCAATGTTAATTGAACAAAAACCAATATTTTTTTTGTCAAGACTTGAAATATAAATATTTATTAAAAAGTTCACATAAAGTTCTGAACTGTGCAATACAATAAAAGTCTAAATTCATGTAATAATAGTGTAAGCAAGATAATGAAATAACTACATCTGACAAATTTTATTTATCTTTCAAAACACAGGAATATTTTATCTGTAGTATTTAATAGGCCTGATACATATTTCAATATTTATGAAGCAAACAACTGTTAAAATAATGGGTGTGTTCTTGGCACAGAGCAGTGATTCTGCAAAACTTAGGACACTACAGCTCTTTTAGGACCTAGGACAGGGAGGGCGAACCAATGGCACGTGACACTATATTTTGGGCACACACCGATCACGAAGTTCACTATGAAGCATAACAAAAATTAAATTGAAAATCACAAAAAAAAAAAACAATTATCAGCAAAAGAATTAACAATTAATGCCAAAAAAAAACAATTAATAACGGTAAAAAACAAGCTAATAATAAGTGACCAGCAAAAAAAAAAAAAAAAAAAAAAAAATTAAGTCTTGCTTAAGCTAACATCTTACATCCTAATATAAGTTATTTGCCATCGAATCTGCAATAACAGAAGTCACAGTGATGTTACTTTAAGTTGAACTACGCGTATAACTGAGACATTGCAAAATGAATTTTTTTTTCATACTGAATAAAGAGTTTTGAGTTGACACTATTTTGTATTATTATTTTCCCAATAATCACGAAGTCAAAATTATTTAACGGCACGTCTATGACCTCATTAAGCAATTTTTTTGAGAAAATGGCACGTTGGTGCATAAAGGTTCGCCGCCCCTGCCCTATAGTAATGAGTTAAATAATATTGCTTCCTCGCTTAAAATAAGTTTATAATATTGTTTGCATTGAAATTGCTTTATATAAGTTTATAATGTTGATAATAAGTTCCTCTGACGTTTTGCAATCCTATCATATTTTCTCTATGTGATGTTGGTGCAGAAAAATTGCCAGCTAATCACCAGGAAAACGACTTTAAGTTTGTTCGCGAAGCGAACGAAAATGTAATTGCGTAGCAATTATCGGGGGTTGGCGAGCGGTAGTGAGCAGGGGGCGCAGCCTTCTAGTATATATTTATATATATATATATACATATAATTTTGACCGATTGGAGTGTGCTTTGAATATTTTCAAAACCTGTTTTCTATAATTGCAAATATTTTTTAATTATTATTTAGCATGAACAAGCACTAACGATTCATTTTTTTATACATCTCTTTGAATCATATATTTGTGTTGTTAAGAATCATAAAAACAGTTGGAAAATTTTTTTATATTCTCTTTTTTCCTCCTATTATTTCAGCAGTGTTATAATTAAATAGCTTTACAAAATATTAGAAATATATTTTATCTCACTTTCATAGTTCACACATCAACTCGTATTATTATTTTAACTTACTAATCCTCTGAAGATTCTTTGAACTAAACGACTAAGGTTAAACGTCATCTAAAAGCTTTTATCGCTTGAAAAAATATTATAAAAAATACTGAATACCGGAGATAATTCGAAATGCAGCGAAAATTTATTATTTCAATTCTTTTGAAAAAGCAAATTATAAAGAAAGAATTTTTTTTTATGGTATTAAACTTCGGGTATTTCTAAAGATCAAATATTATATTATAAAAACTGAAGATATTGAATTTTAATAGAATTTCATGTACTTTTATACTTTATTTTTTTCTTTCTCACAGCTCCAAAGGTTTCTTTTTTAAAATATTCTGTTTGTTTAGTTAGATTAAATGCATATAGCTTTTTAAAGATCTATGCTAAGTGTCTGGAAAAGTCAAGAAGGTTAACAGTAGAGCATAATACTTAGAAAAATATAAATTTAATACTTTAGTAATAGTTACCAAAAATCGATTACACTGACGACATATTATAAAAAGACTCATCTATATTATATAAAAAGCTCATCTGTTGTACTCATATATTATATAAAAAGCTTATTCGTTCGTGGTTATAAAATCGATAATTTTTTTTCTCACGGGTTTGCATAAGCATAAAAACGAAGCAGTTAAACACTGTTTCATTTTTTCTTATTTTAAGTTAAATTTGTCATTATCTTAAGTTAAAATATGTTTTGTTGAAAGTTAATTTTTAACAATTGTGATTTTGTTGAAATTCTGTAAAGATTTTAAAATATCCAGCTTATATCTGCTTAGGTTGTATATGTTGGTTAGGCATGTAAGGACATGGATCGTTGCCTAAAAGTATTGTTTTAATCGCACGATAACTATCTTAATTTTCACCTACTTCATTACTATGATCCGTATAAATTTTTTTCTTCACATTTTATAATTACCAGGAAAAATAAAGTTACCAGGAAAAATACCAGGAAAAATAAATACCAGAAATTTACCAAGAAAAATAAAGTTTGGAGCTTAAGAATTTAGAAATGGTTTCAGATAAATATGAATTGTTAACATTGAATTCAGCGTGAATAACATTGAATTTATTTCAACTGTGGCGTAACTACCACTACGATTATTAAACATCAATTCACTAGTATATAAGACATGTTAACTTGATTCAATCTTGAGGTACCTTTTGATAGATAAAAGTTGGCAAAGTCGATAACATCATTCCCATCATTGGTGACCCGGACGTGATATGATCACGATTACTTCGGTGGATGGCCCAGATTGAACAGTTGACTTGTTAATTGTGACTGCGTCATCGTCCTCCTAGCGCCATTGCTTCGCAGTCTCATTAACACACAACGGGATCCTGCACTCTCGACTGCTAATAGCAACACAGGAGTAATCACACACACAACCATGAATTTAATATAGCTCTCATGGCTAAAAGCTCAAAACTCGGTGACCTTAATCCAGCTTTCCAGGTCTTTCACAAATACAGCAACTAGTGGTATCCGTTATCGAATTCTATCTCTGATAAAATTCTGGTGGGTGAGTATTGTGGCGTAACTACCACTACGATTATTAAACATCAATTCACTAGTATATAAGACATGCTAACTTGATTCAATTTTTAGGTACCTTTTGATAGATAAAAGTTGGCATAGTTGATAACATCGTAACCCAAATTGGTGACCCGGACAATACTTCTTTAATTTTAACCTTT